GTATGTATGTATGTATGTATGTATGTATGTATGTATGTATGTATGTATGTATGTATACACACACACACAAATAGAAATCAAGATCTGAATGACTGTAGATCAGAAAATGCTCATCAAGACTACAAAGGCCTAGTTGAAGACTACTGTTTAATACTTCTACTAACATAGGTAAGGAACACAGAGGTTAAATGTTAACACACAATGGTGCCTGTCCGAGGGTTTTTTTTAAGCTTTCGATTTTATTCAGCCATTGTCAAGCTATAAAGTCAAATAAGCAGGGAAAAGAGGAAAAGTGATGCATTGATTTGATGGGCATGTCTCAACTCCCACCGTGTTCAGTTAAATCCAAACAATGATGCACAGAAGGTATATGATGATCTCTTAAACCTTTGTTTTTGTGCCCCACTATTCCTAGGTGATTATGGAGATCAGTGGGCTCCCACTAGAGCTGTGGCGCTTAATACTGTCCTACTTGCGTCTTCCTGACCTTGGCCGCTGCAGTTTGGTGTGCAGAGCATGGTATGAGCTCATCCTCAGCCTGGACAATACTCGGTGGAGACAGCTGTGCCTTGGTTGCATTGAATGCCGGCATCCAAACTGGCCTAACCAGCCTGGCGTGGAGCCTTGGTCATGGAGAGAAGCTTTGAAGCAGCATTACCTCTCTTCTAAAACCTGGACCAAAAACAGCCATGATCTGGAGTCCTCCAACTGCTTCTACTTATTCAGGAGGAAAAAGGACAGGCGGGTTCTTTGTGTTGGACCTGGCTGTGAGTTTGACAATCTGAGGAGTGCCTTGCTTTCAGCCAGCATGTATGACCGGATTGTTCTGCTGCCAGGAATGTATGAGGAACAGAGTGAAATCTTTCTTAAGGCTCCTGTGGAAATCATGGGAAAGGGCAAGCTCGGGGATGTGAACCTTCTAGTGAGCTTTGACCAGCACTGTCCAACAATGAGGTTATGCAATTTGGTCTTTATGCCAGCCTGGTTCACACCAGTAATATATAAGGTGAGTATGAAGAAGGATCTGAAGAAGCTTTCAAGACGGAGTTGCCTGAAGAATAGTCATGTGGGAATTAGGGGCATCTGGTCAATGTGGCAGAATCCACACAAAGGTTTTCCCAACTTGGGGCCTTTTAAATGCATGCCCCAGTGTTCCCCACCAGTGTGGCTGTTGTTTCCTGGATGCCACCAGTTTGGGGAAGGGTTCCGGGGAGCCTTGCTTGACATGGTGAACTACACCATCTGGAATTTCTGACTAACTCAATTTATAGTTGGTGTAGTTGGTGGGAATTTAATCAACACATCTGGATGGCACCAGGATAAGAAAGGTATCCTGCTAAGTTAGATCAACAGTAGACAAAGTATTTTTTTCTCAAGCATGTCACCCAGTGGTTGAAATGCAATATTGTATGCTGACTCTGCTCACAGTCTGGAGTTTGATTCTGATGGGCTCAAAGTTGACTCAGCCTTCCATCCTTCCGAGGTCAGTAAAATGTGTACCTAGATTGTTGGGGATAATATACTGACATTTGTAAACTCTGCAGAGAGTGATGTAAAGCACTATGGGTTGGTATATATTGCTATGAAAGCATCATGTGTTAGTCAGGGGAAGAACCAATACTTGTTTCATCTCTATGTTTGGTTAGGAGCTGCCATGGTATCATGGTCTCTCTATTTCATTCCCATCAGCACAGTTAGAAGATAGCAGACTAGGAGGCTTTGTATCTGTTCGCAGGCAATATTTCTCTGGAAAATGAGTATCCTCTTTGAGTGCTTTTTAAAAAATTGAAAATAGGCTTATCTGGTTTCATTGTCTTTTCTTAGACAACCTCAGGCCATGTCCAGTTTGACAACTGCAATTTTGAAAACAGTCAGCTGCAGATTCACGCTCCTGGGACTTGCCAGGTTAAATTCTGCACTTTCAATCAATCCAGCATCCATTTCCATAGCGTGGCTGTCTGTATCCTGGAAAACTGTGAATTTGTTGGCAGTGAAAATGCTTCAGTGACAGTGGAAGGAAGTCCATCTTTGGACAGAAACTGGGCCTGCAAACACTTGATCCTGTTGGCAAAATCTCGCTCCGTCTTGCTGCAGACATCTGAGCCCTCCCATTGCAATATATCAAAGTTTGAGAGCCAGGGGACTCTTCCAATTTCAGACATGAGGACCTGTGATGTTGTGGTAGCTGAAAACCCAAGTCACATATTTCCTGTTTCACAGACTCAAGTGGTGCCAAGGAGAGGCCTTGAGAAGGAAAGAGAGGCATCTGGGAACCTTAACACAGCACACAAAGAAGAGGCCATGACTATAGACACGGATTCCAGTGACAGTGAACTGAGCCTCAGCAGTGAGAATGAAGACGAGGATGAGTCGCTATACAAACTGCCTTACCAGGCTCATAGCTTGAGCCACATGCTGGCCAAGGTTGTCCATGGGAAGTCATCCACTGATGGATTACCAGCCCTTCAGAGTGACTATGAGCTAAAACCTTTGGCTCAGGAGCTGCAGCAAGATAAGGAGGCTCAGTGTCTCGCCAACACTATGCAAGGATGCCTTGTGAGGAAATGTCTTTTCAGGGACGGAAAAGGTGGCATCTTTTTGTGTTCCCAGGGACAAGCCAGAGTGGAAGGGAGCATCTTCAGGGACTTGACCTATGCTGTGCGATGCATACAAAACAGTAAGGTGCTGTAAAAGACAGGAGCAGATCTTGCATGCTACAGTTAAACATAAAGTAATATTTAATATTGGGGATGTGGTGGCTCAGTGGCTAAGACACTGAGCTTGTTGATCAGAAAGGTTGCCAGTTCAGCGGTTTGAATCCCTAGTGCCGCATAACGGAATGAGCTCCCATTACTTGTCCCAGCTTCTGCCAACGTAGCAGTTCGAAAGCATGTAAAAATG